AAACTACGTTCACACAATCCTGGGCGAGTTATGAGCATTAAAACCCCCTCTAGGCGTTCTTCGATGCGTTCGTCCGGCAACAGTTTTAAGACGACCAGTTGCAACAGTCTACACACCATTCCAAATTCTGATGCGCATGCGTGCTCCACCAGCCAATCAGAGGAGCAGCATATCGGAGGATCAGGAGCTCAAAAGACATTAGACAGGCGATATAGCAAGAAAGATGCTCAGTCTCCAAATTCAGATTCAGAAGAGGACGAGTCTGGGGAGGCTGTTTGGATTTTACGATCAGAACTAGAGGAATATGAAAAGAAACTGGAAGAGAAACGCGTAAGAAGACAAATGAGGAAACAGCGTCGATTGAGACAGCAGCAACAGCCAAATCAACGATCGTCCATGTATTTGAAACCATCGAGCGCTTTGAGTGACATAAACGATAATACAGGCTCCGTTGAGGAGCCGCCTTCAGAAGAACACATCGTCGAAAATATCATCTCTTCTTCTGAGATGCGGTTTATGTACAAAAAGGCGTTCGGTCGACTGATGCGAAAAGAAATAGTCGTCGAGTGGCAGTGCATATCCATAGTGTTGGACCGCTTCATGTTTTGGGTTTATTTGGTTGCCACCATAGCTACATATATCGTCATATTTGTGGTGGTAGTTTACACAAAACCAAACTTACAAGAAAAGATTTCGCAAATACACGAATATCCGAGTTCGAGGTACAGAGATTTTATGGATGGTTGATAAAAGTTTAATGCGGCATTAAATTTCAGTAAAAACCTTCAACAAAGTTTATTTCCATAAATGGCACTTACTGCTACTTCTTCCAAAAATAACAGACCTATAGTTATACATGTAGATCTGTCGGTACATGTACGTATTCATAGATATGAATGTGACATTCCTAAGAAATTAAAGATAATTTAGTTGAAAAATACACTAAGCTAAAAAGAAGTTGCATATGAATATAGAATTTGATGCAAGTAAAGAATACGCACCTTCATGTCTTCCTATGTACATTATTGTCCTTTGTTTGTTTAACATAAATAAAAAATAAAACTTCCGTTGAGTTTTTTATATGTTGCTTTAAACTACACGCATACAACTACTAGTACCATAGACCCGTCTTGACAAACACAGCACGGGAGCAGACTACTCTCTATCAGAGGCCCTTCCAGCTGTTACAAAATTGGTAGGACTTCGGTCTACCTCGTATCGGCTATGGCAGGGTCTCTGACACAGGTGGGGAGCTGGCCGGAATAGCCCTTTAGATAAAGGCGTGTCTCCATTTCAGACAAGTCGAGCCAATTTAGACTATCTACTTCCAATAACTTCGTTAACCCTAAAGCAAGTCATGAGGCACGCAAATATCACCTTAATTACGTTTGGGATTAGATTTGATTTGTATGATGAGCAAATCACAATACTTGCGCTTAGCTAAATTATGTGTCAATATAACATAGGGCATTTTGCATAGAATATTTATATACGGGAAGCACTTCTTATTAAACTGATCGTCTGAAGAGTGACTAGAACTTTTGGTTTAAAACTGTGCTCAACTGAACGGACTACTAAAGAAGCGGATTCAGTCTGGGAGTTGGTCCTATGTACAAAGAGCTCGGCTATCTCAACAAACGCAATTCAACAAATAGTGTACTGGTATGTGTCTCATGTAATCAAGAATACGCCATGATGAGTGAATACTTATTCATTTCTCTAATTGAATTTGTTGCAAAGAATTATGATATTTTGCAATACATGATAAAACTACAAACATACATGCGCGCGCACATACATATGCACAATGAACATGAGCATTTCACAATTTATGACTTTGCAATAGACTAATGTTAAATAGCACAACCCTTACAAACATTATACGACATTGCATAAATATTAGGTTATTTTTCAGATGTACATTATGTTAATGAGGGATAGGATGTATACATATTTTAATAAAAGTAGACTCTATGACTCTTAAGGGACACTTGTTCATTCCTACAGGTGCGTGTACAAACCAGCTTTATAGATCTCTTATATATCGTATGAAAGACAGGTGAATATTGGCTTGAACATAACGGTATTCATAACATGAATTACAAGTGTTGGAAAAACTGCCCTTATTACCGTGTGATTGAATACACCGTAAGGGGGCAGCACGCACCTGTGGTATGAGGTCATAGCTTTATCTTTTGAGAAGGATCGATACATACATACATATATCACTTTGAAGACAAATAACGTCATTTCTGCTAAATTTAACTTTCTCTATTAATAGCTCTGCTAATTCTTGTATTTAATTTCATACTTAAAAAATAGGTGTATTTTATAGTCTCCAAAGGGAACGTGGAAATGTGTAACAAAGGGTATAGAAAAATAATACTACTCTTCAATGAAAGAACAGTAATTCGTTATACAGACTCCTGAGGAGAAAAACAATGACCCGAAAATCAATAACTAAAACAGTAACGCTTGTGTTCTGGCAATCCCCAATCTGGCACGCGCACAAGTTCAGGTGACGCAGGTGTGTCGACAACACGGCACTTTATCATCATCGCCATACCTGTAAGGACGGAGAGCTCGGTGTGTGCGTTCACCCATAGTACCATACGGACAATACGCAAATAGAGGAGGAGGGGGAATTTACAATAATGTCGTTGTATTGGTAAATAACACTCGATAATATATAACGTATTAGAATACATGAATTCTGTGATTTCGAAAACCGCATACTTTTCAAAAGCAAACAAAACACTACAAATAAAAAGCCGACACTAGGGTGTTTATTGTCTGCTTTCCAAGTTTATGTCGGCAATCAATTTTAGGAGCTAAAAAAGTTAATCCAGTTGGAGTTTTCCGGGTCGTTTATGCATGTAACCTTTTTTAATCGTGGCTTTTAAATGATACTACGTTTATCAACCCCACTGAATATAGCTTTATATTTCCACCAACTGAAGATAACTTTGTCCTTTTGAAGTACTATTCACCTCGGAAGTCGAGGCATAGACAGTGTACAATACATGTTTTTACCGCTGCTACATCCATCACCGTTTTACTACTGCGTATCTGAATTGGCTATATGTGCCGACGATCAAGAAAAATTGTGCATTAAAAACGTGGCATTAGAAGGCCGCATCGTATAATGGACACAGGGCACATGTATTTAGTGTATACGTGTCTGCATATGTATGCGCGTGTATGAGAGCGTGCACAATAGAGGATGCATTGTTTCAATGTCCCTCCAAACACAACATCGCCTGTTAAAGCGTGGATGCATTACAATACCAATTCTGACAGCGCTGGTCCCCCACTCCATGCGAAGATCTATACAGCTATAGCGTGCTCTTATTAATATCTTCTTCCATATAATCATACATAAATGTAAAACATAGTATCCATTATGTTTGGAGGTTATTACAGATTCGCCTGGCTTGGGTATCCTGTAATAATAGTCTTACTTGATTGCAGCATTCAGCATACAATGTGTAATTCATATTACGGATAAAGAAATATTTTGTTTTCTCGAGTTTACAAATGGCAGGCCATAAATGTAAAGGCTAGCATGACCACGTAATAAAAGAATAGATAAAAAACGGACAGAAGAGCCTTGATTCTAATTGTACTTTACAGCGTTACTTCAGCTTCTTACCCTCTAGGTGTTACATTTAAGGTTGTTAAAAGTTGTTTAAAAGGTGTTCCAGTCCCCAAGGCCAAATACCTGAATATTTAGCATCCATACGGTTCATCTTCATTTATTACCACGTTTATGGGGACACTTGCTTGACTTATACCAGCCCCTTTCACGGATAAGGTGTTCTTCTTTTCACATAATTTATATACTTGGTTAACACTGAGGTTAGGTTAGTCAGAGGATTGGTCTAGGAAACGGCTTAGTAACTTCTTAGTGTGGGATCCAGACGTGAGAGTGTTTTGATAGAAAAAAGGCCATTAATATCTAAATTAAAATGGGATTTTGAAACCAGGGGCATCACTTGGAATTAAATTTGTTAAATAGCCCACTCCTCTCTGTGGTCACCAATGTTTTTGTGTCTATAATAACACGCGGCACCATCTCCTTTTATCTAAGGGGCATTAAAAAACTACTCTCAAATAATTTAAATGAAAATTTTAATTGGATTCTACATTTTAATGAGATGTGTTCTGTTTGCCCCTTAAATATTTGCTATCTTAATTAAATCTTTTCATTGAAGTAATCAAAATTAATTATGTGATACAATCCGGGCGAAGCTTCTGGTACGTCATAACAAAGCCCCACACTTAGTTCGTTTTACCTTGACAGAAGTAAAATTTTTTATTTGAAAAAAAAAAAAAAAAATACTTGAAGGGTCACTAAATTATCTACATATGATGATCCTATGTTGAACAGTTATTAATCATGAGAATTAACTACAGGTATATGTAGTTGACCGCCAGCGCTGATCCGCGATAACAATCATACTTGATATAATGAGAAATAACCTTTAAGGAACAAAACATATGTGTTCAACCATACACTGTCGTGACTCTCATAAGACTACATCAGGTCGTATCTTAAGTCTACCCTACCTGTGGTCGGTGAGCTGGGATGGGACGTTTAGAAGAGATTTATTCATCTTAGACAGTCATTAGTTTTCATGGCCTTTCGTAAAGTGTTGGTATCAGCCATTTAATCGCCGTCTATCTGAGGTCTCATCTCATGATGCATGCAGGGGACGACCCACTAGCCTAGGACAGGTTTTCAGACAGGTATCCGTGTACGACGTCACTTTTATGAGGCCGAGGCAAAAAGACGACATAAAATCTGTTTGAATTTTTACGGTGTTCATTTAGCTTTCTTCAAGTTCGAAGTCAGCTATTGCAATTCTGACGGTAGATCGGTTGAATTATTCGAAAGGAATACAGAAATGCAATACAAGTGACCAATGATATGACCATTAAGTCTTTCGCGTATGTCCGTGAAACAAAACTTTTGGCACGCGATATTCATTAGTAATTGTGATGCGTGCAGTTCATATCAGTTAGTCGCGGATCACAACACGGGGTCTGTACCACGTCGTTGGTGGCGGTGGTTCAGTTGTTTAAGTCTGCTGCTGGCGATTTCACATCTTAACATCAATGGGCGACCAGAATAACGCGTCTCTGTAGGCTCAGCTAGCCGAGGGAAAACACAGACACTTACCCCTGAAGTTTTGATGGAAATAGCGTGACACATGCAGTGACTGTTGAGATATGTACTGATGTCTATCTTTTACGCTCAATAATATTAGTCAGCGCACACTCCTTGCTTCCGATATCAACGAAATGAGTTCGAAATCAACACCATCTTCCTCAGACGACGAAAGCAAGAAGAAGGTGTCGGACATGGGGGAGACGAACACAAACGCGGAAGAAATGTCTCCTTCTGAAGGTACAATGGATTCTCAGGGAGAAAATAAACCAAATATTTCTGCACCTACCGACAAACAGAACACCGAGGTGTCCACTGAATCGACACCCGGGCCAGACAGTACAATGGAAGAGACAAACGACGATAATAGCTCACGGTCATCGTCGCCGGATCATGAGAAAGAACAAGAAGAGAAACATGTCGATTCCGAACATAGTGATTCAACAATAGTAGAGAACAGCGGAGAAACTGAGGCTGGAGATACACCAGTAGCGGCAAATGACCTCCGTTCTGGTAGCCCTAGCGACAGTCCTAACGATGAGGCTCAAACTGAAGCAGACGATAAAATGACGGAGGAGCCAGAGGGAGCGACGGCTGCGGTGCCTTTGGAAGCAGACGACGGTTTTGACAGACATAGCGTTAATAGTTCTGTCAAAAGTGAAGAGTCTAGGACGACAACGTCACTGACGGGGGACAATTTAGAAATGCACGACAGTGGGGTGTCTTCTGCCCACGAGGTCGAGGACAGAGTGTCAGACCAACATAAACTGGACTCTTTCAGCAATGCTTCCACTAAAAGCGTAGAATCGTCGGAAGTGTCTGTATCCCCAGTGTTAGCAGACGACACGGACGACACAACGCTCAAGCGCCATGACAACGTTGAAGGGGAGATTACTCCAGAGCCCGAAGCCGAGGTGACCCTACGGAAGAAAGATAAGCCAGGAGATGGTGGTGCTCGGCCGAAGGACCGAAATTCTAAGATAAGAACTAGTTTTAGAAATACTTTGAATTTCTTCCGTAAAATCCCTGAGAAGTTTCACCATAAAAAGCAACCGAAGGAACCACCTCCGCTGCCGAGGGAACTATATGCAGGAATAAGAGTCGAGGGGCTGCCGCAGCACTTTGTCACGAAATACCTCGGCAAACAACCCTGCAAGGGTCTCTTTGGCATGGATCACATACGTGAGCCAGTGGATGTCATGGTGAGAGCTGTCAATCAAATGAAAAAGGGAGAGGACTTGCCGTTGACCCAAACCACGATTAGCTCAACTGGCATTGAAGCCACGGAACATCCAAAAAATAGAGCCAAAACTTTTGAGCCCGTGTGTCACCCAATAGAAACTATCTCGTACGGTGTTCAGGATACACGCTATCCTCGCGTGTTTGCGGTCATCACTGTTTCGGACATTAAAGTAGCCAATAAAGTGACCAACTGTCATGCGTACGTTTGTAACTCGCCAATCTCTGCACGCAAAATGGCCATGACGCTCCAACTGGCTTTTAAAGAATACAAAGTAGACGTTAAAGAAAAGCAAAAAAGCTTCTATCTTCGCTCAGATCATGAATCTGAACCAATGACTGAAATAAAGTCAGATGAGGACGAGGATGAGGATAAAACGCACGAAAATGACGTCGTTGAAGAAAAAGAGGAAGAAAATACCGAAAATGTCGAAGTAAAAGAAAATGAGGACAGTGGCAGCATCAACGAGCCAAGTGAGAATAAGGAAACCAAGGAAGATAGTATCGAGGAGTCTGCATCAGCTATTTAATTGTTTTTTTTACTTTAGTTACTTTTAGTTTGAAAAACAGTGTAGTTAGCTATACCTTTGCTTTGCTCGCAAATGCTTCCATTAGGTACACTGGAACCTGTGATTAAACTCCGTCACCAATCAATTTAGAATTTATAAAGAAAGGCAAATTATAAAATGCATTGTCTTTTGTGTTTCTAATCAAATTACAAAGCAAGTTCATATCAATGCTTCTTTTGTAGTAAGCAGTTTTGTGAAGCGCCGAAACGGTGTCCTTTATAGACAGGAACCGGCTCACTAAGTTAACTAGAGAGTCATTTCTATGACGATTTTAACTTGAACATATTTCAGTCATATCTGATTGTTAAGTCTTGTAACAGCTCAGGCAATTTAGGCGTCCTACCTAAATACCTAAATGTAAAGCTTGTTACAGCTAATAAGCTATTATTTAACTGCAATCTGCACGCAATTGTATAAATTCCATTACCATTTATACATATGGCCTACCAGACATGGATTTCCCCCAGTAAGCTATATGCCATTCTTTCTTGTATATTTGTTACAATTGAATGCACAAAGTGCAATATTTACTGTCAGTTAGCGTTGTCTAGGTGCGTTGAATGTGAACCATAACATTTAAATTACAAACTGGTTTTCATTCGTAGCATTGGTGGAAAATTGTGAAATATTATCAAGTATTTGATCAATAAACTGTCAAATGTGAGCAACAGTGTCTTTCAAATCACTGAGTGTCCTTTTTTGCCAACTTTATGCAAAATCACAACTAGCAAGGATATGTTTTGGATGTTTAAATCATATAATATTACAGAGAGCTGATCTGATACATTTTGGTGAAAAATGTGACTGAGCATACTCGATGAAAGTACAGTAGGTTTCCATCCATGTTTGCCTGTCTGTCTCTATCAAGATTTTTTGCACTAAAATTTCATTTTTCTGTTGTTTTCTTAAGGTGCACCATGACATCTATAATATCGTAATTCATGTTAAAGTTGTTTTATTCTTCTCTCGTATACTTACCATGTATCGGATTTTTTTTCCATTCTGTTATTTTATTTTATGTTCGTTTTTATTATCTCCCATGCAGTTCCAAATTGTTTGCACGACGTATATGTTCGCGTGAGGGCAAGGGTAGGGGATAATTAATGGTACCATCGGACAAAGACCTCTGCATTTGCTCTTCAGAATTTTTGAAATTTTGAGGATGGGATATTTGAAGTTTTTTCGCCTCAGTTCCTAAAGGTATACACACATTGGAGTCTGAAAATGTTCCACAGTAGTTTATATGGCAAAGCAAAGTTGTCTTTCCATTCAGACCTTTTTTTATACAGGTGTTAAATCTTAAAATTACTCCTTAAAAGAACTTCTGAAATAATATGATGACCATGGCGGTTTAATGAATGATGATTCGTTTATATATATCAAGAAATTGTATAAAACATCGCACGGGCGGATTTAGCATTGATTTGAGAGTAGACAAAATTGTTTTTTCTTGTGGAAAATTAGATTAAATAGAAATACCCCCTAAAAGAGCCCAAGGAGTTTCCGTGCCCGAAATGGCTTAATATACCTAAACGACCCTACAGAGCGTGTTTATTTGTGATCAGGAGCTACCACAGCAACGCATGGAATCTCAAATATTCATGTGCGGAAAAGAATTAGGCCAGGCCTGTTTTGTTTTATCATGAATGTCGAATAATCAGGCAATGTCAAAGTACATTATTTGAAATTTATCCCATTTGTGACCAGGGCATTGTTGAAAACCCAGTTTTGCAGGTATACAACAGTGAAATGTTTTTGGTTATGGACTTGGGTATGCATCGTAATATAGGGACTCAAAAACATTATCTCCAATTGGTATGTGACAGTCATACTGTCTGGCAAGTCATATTAAGTGTACGAAACCTTCCCCTCGGGTTCTTGGCGTCAGAAAAGAAAGAAAGATAAAAAAAAACGACAAGGAAAACTGTGCATATCACCATGACAAAATGGTGACGCTGTCCTTTATTGCAAAACTCAACTAGACTGTACTGCTGGTTTGATCTGAGGTGTGTACATACATTCTCTATGACGCATCGGAAATGTACACAGTTAACCATCTGAATGGATAACTGCTTGGCATAATGAATGCTATTCGGTATGTGTCTCGTAATTTAATTCCTGCGTCACCTGTTGATTTGACGGGTGTCATAAGATCGCTTACACCATCTTAATTAAGAACCAAGTCGCCTCTCTCACATCCAATCCTTCCCACCAGTTTAGTTAAGCATAACATGGCATTTTTTTTCTCGTCGCTCTCGACTTCCATCACTATAATGTCCAATGTTTTTCACTCGCTTGTCGTCAAAGTCACAATACACGTTGGACCTTTACATGGCACTGTGTTACATATTTTATGGATTAGGGCTTTTACTGTTCATACCCCAAACTTGTGGAACGAACTGCCTTATTATATTAGATCTTATAGTAATTATGACAAGTCTCTTAAAACTTATCTTTTTGCAAAGTTTAATGACTAAATGTTTTTAACTTTTAAATAAAGTTTGTACTTTAGTGCTGTAAACCTTAAAAAAATTTATAACGTTATTGTAGAGTGCATTGAAATGATAGAAAAATGAATTCGCTACAAAACAAATAAATATTGATTAGATTTCGAAGTCTCAATGATTTTCCAAGGTACATCTTTTCCAGAACTCCATAAAACATTATATTGTATAAATTCTTTTGTAGCCGTTTACTTCTAATGTTCACTGTTAATAGTGAAAATTTACCAGTCTACGAGTAGCTTCTTGAAAACGAGAAACTTGTGAAAGTCGTCGTTTTTCTAAAATGCGAACACTCATATATGCACGTCACAATTTCTTCAATATCGGATTCAAGATATAACAATTAAGAAAGCTCATACATAAAGAAGCATTTATTTCTCAAGGTATATTCTGCACATACACGTCCACATATGCCCTATACTATACCGAGTACAGGGCGTGGCCAATAATGGATAAAACACTTACACTGGAGCAACGACCATAAAAAACACTATCGATCTTTGTGAAAGTTAANATTTCTTCAATATCGGATTCAAGATATAACAATTAAGAAAGCTCATACATAAAGAAGCATTTATTTCTCAAGGTATATTCTGCACATACACGTCCACATATGCCCTATACTATACCGAGTACAGGGCGTGGCCAATAATGGATAAAACACTTACACTGGAGCAACGACCATAAAAAACACTATCGATCTTTGTGAAAGTTAATTTTTGGCGACGCTTCCTATTCGTTAACATTCTAAAATTATCATACAAACGCCATACTCACACTTGCATTGTTCGTGATATTATCAGGGGCTCATACCTTCCACTTTAGTAGTAAGCAAGATGCCCACGTAACAGGCTTTTTGTTTGACTTTTAAAAGGCACAACTTCCGTATCATTTTGAAAACGCGGTAATTCCTAATCTGTACAATTTCTGAAACCAAGTCTTTTCAGAATCACTTTAAAAACCACATTCAAAGAACAATTGGTAAAATAAGTCCTGGTAGATAAATGCAACCTTGTTTTTCCAAATATGGCATTTCTTTTTTTTTCTTTCGTTTATCTCTCAATATTTAGTCTTGGTCAACAACAAATGACAGCTGAGCGTTAAATAAACATCGATGTAAATTATAATCACACCTAACATCATACACTTCTTGCCACTCCTGTATGGGGATCTGACCGCGATCGACTTAAACTAAACGTGCAGAGGACAATAATTCCGTCTCTCCTTCAGTCTAAAGATTCACTGAGAACACTACATTATAATACATTTTGACAAATTGTTATGCACAAATATATATACAATATAAATAAACATTCGAATTCCTAGTTCTCAAAGCATGAGCAACCAGTTCACGATTTATATTGCGACAGTGGCGACACCGAGCTCCCTGGGGTGCACGTGACCAACACGTGACGTGAGGTGTGACGGAAGCCACTGACGTTGACTAGTTAAACAGAATTACGACCTGTGCATCAAATAATATAAAATACATAACTTATTCTCCACCTAAGAGTTCACAGGCAAGTTTCTCATACGTATATCTTGTTTTTTAAACAAAATATCCTTCAAATAAAACCAGAGTTACCTGCAAAATAATGATGTTTCGACATGTAAAAAAACTTATCTTCATTTATCCCTTTTACATAACGGATACACTATATTAGCAGGCATTATATATTAGTTACACTGAATTACAATAGTTATCATGTCGTTTAATTGTCAGGTTTTAAAATATGACTGGTTAGTGTCCAGTAATACAACAGTTAACATATTTAACCATTTTGTTATTACGACTACATTTGTAATAACACGTACATTTAGTGACAATATTAATGTAATTACTGTAAATAGTGTAAGACATGCGCATGCACTTCCAGTAACTTCATCAAACCTGTATCTCCTTCTAAGAAAAATGCAATTTTAAGTGACAATGTCTTTATACTTAAAATGGCCGCAGCATTGAACATAATTAATTCTTTGTGTCAAAAAGCTTTGATAAACCTGACACCCAAATTACTGTTATGTTAAAAGACTTGTTCAGTAGCGCTTTACACAGTTTCACTCTAATGTAGTTGCTATGTAATTTCCACTTCATAAGCAACTTAAGTATCTTTCACTTAATCAATTCCAGTATAAATTTTCAACTTGTGGGTCTTGCAAATTTCTGGTGCTCTCTTTCAATGTTCATTACCCACGTCAACTTAATATTCAAATAGTATTGTGAAAACCAATAGTATGAATTTTTCCCCAGACCCTTTGTTGTAATCAGATATGTATAACTTTGATTTAGGGCTATGAAATCCACACAGCTGTGTCAAACAGCTTATTTATTACACACAGATTTCCACAATACAGATATATTTTGAGGATATGGCAGCAGAGACCTCTTTTCTTCAGAATTTGCTCTTCAGGATAATCTGAACTTAAAATGGTCATGCAAGCCTCTCCCTGAACTTCCTTACACCAGACATGGTGACGGTTCAGTCAGACGCAGCTTCTGCAGAGCTAGGAGACGCAACTTTTAACGGTGAGCCTCCATTTTCTTTCTGTGACTGAGCTCGTTTTATGTAGAGGTTCAGCAGCTTCATCTGAGGAAGTAATGTCAAGAGTAAGAAAAATGTTACTCAAAGGTGTTTTGAGAGAGAGAGAGAGAGAGAGAGAGAGAGAGAGAGAGAGGGGAAGAGAAAGAAAGAGAGCAAACTTATATTTCACATACTGTCATTTTAAATTTATGAATAAATAAATTCAAAAAAGTACCTTATACAAAATTGAAAATTAACAAAATATTAAAATACAGTATTAAAAAAAAAAAAAAAAATACAAAGAAAATTAACATATATATAAGAAATTCCTGTTCACTACCCACCTTGCTACCATTTAACTCGGTGAGGTAAGGCCTCAGTTCTTCTCCTATGCTCATGTAGACAGCCACCAGACAGAAGACGCTAGCCTTACGCACACTACTCTCCACGTTGTCGTAACCCTTCAGCAGACCTGTTGCCACATCTGCCACCAGAGGCATCATCTCCGCCTTGCTCAGTTGTTCTATTACCTGAATGTACAGAAACAATTCTCTCTATATGGACAAGATTTACAAAATATGTCTGACAGATGTGGATGGTTTCAGGTAAATCTATGCACAGGAACAAGATTCCAAAATTGAAGGCAATAGATAAAAATACTTCTGCTTCATTTGGAAAGACAAAGAATTTTTTTAACAATCAGTGCAGAACATAATTGATGTGTAACTTCCACCAGCACAAAAGCTTAACTTCACATATTAGTCAGGTTAAAAAATCACACACACACCTTTGTTTCCATTTTAATGGCAGCTAAGTTAACGGGGTACTCAGAGGTCTGTACTATGGGCATCAAGACCCGCAAGCTCTGCTCTGTAGGTATGGATTTGGCTAACGTCATTGCACATTCCTCTGCTGCCCTCACAACCTGTGGATTGAAAATATCATGAAGGAAAACTTCTTGTCACCATTCAATTTTACAGGTAATGGCAGAGGTTATTTTAAGGCATATGAATGTCTGCTGAAATTCTATAGAAGTTAAAAGTGCCTACTGGGGCATGTACAGTGACATACCTCACGTTCTGGGTCTTTATGAGCATCTAATATCTTCAGAATGGTGAGTTCAGTATACTCCTTGAATCTGTGTGGCTGGTTACGTACGATCTCTCTCAGTACCCGCACCGCCATTGCTCTGATGTGAAACTGAAAAGAAACAGCACATACTGATTGCAATACTGACTGCTTCCATAAAATGTTCTTTGAGTTACTACTGACATGATACAATATATAACAAAATAAAATAAAAATGAATTAATAAATACACAAACTTTATTAATTTCTTATCTATGTATCTATTCATCAAAATATTTAATCAATATATAACTTACATCAGAATCTCCCAGTGTTTCTAGTAAAAGAAGAAGAATGGTCTTAAAATGTTCCTCCCAAATCCCGACAGTTCCTTCCCTGGTCATCTTCAGGAGGTTCCACATGGCACTTTTCCTTTCTTCTTGTCTGAATAAAATACAATAGAACATTGCCTGATTACAGTGGTAAGATGTGACACTTCAATACTGAGACTGGCATTTTTCACTTTTTTATGTAATACTTCATCAAAATATACATAAGAACAGAAATTATTAGTTAAAAAATTGCAATCCCTAAAATTATTTTCACCATTTTAAAAAAAATTCATAGTAATCAAAAGATAAGTTTAGAAAGTCATGAAAAATCATCTTTGTGGTATAATCACAGGAACTGTCACATTTATGGGGAAAAAGAAAAACATTTACACAAATTTGCACAAAAATCTTAAACAACTTTCTTCATAAACATGGCAGACATACCTTTTATTGTGGTTGGATAATTCTGTTAATATCTCTGTAATGGCATCGTTCTGTTCAGTAGGCAATTCTGAAAAGAACAACATCTGATTACTGGACAAATTATACCATTTTTGTTTATAATAAAAGACATTACCAAATCCGCATGAAAAACTTCAGACTGTTGAATTAATTTTTTGATAGACACAATACAAGGTAGCATAAGTGGTTCCAGGCAGATAAAAGAGAAATAACATACCAAAAGCTAGATATGATCTTAGTAAGCATATGCAAAGAAAACTGACACAAATGAAACAATTTAATTCAAGCAACAGGGAATTATGAATACACAGTTAGTTCGATGTTGTACATGAGCACTATCCACAAAATGAATACTACAAATTTCCTTTGCAGATGAAATTTAACTATAATTTAAAATATAAACTTTAAAATTGGTTACAGAGTAAAACATGGATTTAAACCACACCCTTACTACTGACACGTACATTTGGTCAGAGAGCATGTCATACTGTTCAAGTCACAATCATGCTGGTTGTAGTCAGGGAAAAAAATCATCATGCTATTTAAGGTTGGAATTACTTGAATAAATATTCATTGCTGATTTCATATTTCTGCTCGGATCTACTGTGCATTTCCTACACACTACGTCTAAATTTAGGTCAAATAGTGCTGCATATGAGAAGCAGTATCGAGTGCAGGGGGAGATATACGAATGGGAAGTTCTACATAGCAGGAACCTTTCAAAAAGGCACCCCAAAAATATGTTGATAAAAAATTGTTTTTATTTGGGCAATCTAATTAAAACAATCTATAAATAAAAAATAATAAAGAACTATATAAAGCAAACAAATCTGGTTTGAATATTTTCCTTTTGGATTAAAATCATGCAGTTTTCTACATTTATCACACAATTGTTAGTATTACGTCAGGTGTTTTTCTTTTTTAATGAGTTTTTTACATCTTTGTTTTTATATTTCATCAACCCTATATTACAGTGTTATCATATGCTGCTGAAGATCATGCCATACAGGAATACTTCATTCACTAAAAATGGACAATTGTATATGAATAATGATTTTGTTAGTAACTGCTGATATATAATATATTTTGGGGATGTATTTTGATCCAGCTGTGAAAGGGAAAAAAATGTCCTTTTTCTTGCTGTTAATACATTAAATGGGGACTTGAAAATGTGCACTCCACCCAAGCTTTGTATTTTGTAACTTGCAACTGAATTCAAATAAAGCATAACACTGAAAGCATTTCCATAGCCGCAAATAATAGACTTCCAAGTTGACACTCCCAAATAACCAAAATTGGCACGATAAAACAAGTGAAACCAATGTTCTCTCCACAGATAAATACACAGTTCCAAATTCAACATATTGGAAAAGAATATGGAAGACATGTATGTTTATATGCATAAAGTGTAGCCATACACAAAGTAACATTTTGTTTAGAGTCCAGAAAGATATAAAAAAACAATTCTTGACATGCATGCATTTTTAAGTCCCCATCTTTAATATAATAACAGTAGTAAAATACAGTGATTGTTATGTCAAGCAGCTGATTATGATATGAGAATTGATCAGTAGATGCCACACAGCCCCAGGCGAGCTGACCATGTGCCCATGATGCATTGTAAAAATGGCTTACTGTGCAGCCTGCCAGAGGCAGGGATATTGAGGCTTTGTAACAACGTAGCGAGGTGAACTGGAGAATATAACAAAAAAACACAGCAACTCAAACAGTTGCAAAGAGAGAGAGATGAAAATAAATATGGCATGATATTGTAACCCCCACATAGAAGCATTTTTATTTAATATACAGAGGCTTTATTCATTAAGGAGATATCTTGAAATGAAAATAAAGGGTTAGATATGATGCGCTCAGATGTTACATATAAGATATGCATGAATCTTACAGTGAATTAATAGAATTAAGAATATAACACATAATATTGCCATTAATCCCATCCAATATATTTTCCTTGGCGATATTTTAATAGCCCCACAATGAGAGTGAGAAAAAAAAATTGGAAAAAAAACTTATGTCCAATTGAAAATAAATCACATAATAAATATAAATAACCCTTTGGGTATCAAAGAACTTAAATTCCCTAAAAATCCTCTTGCAGTCTTCATGCATCAAATAAAACAACTTTTGAGAGAGAGATCATTGTTCAAGACAATCCAAAAGGAGTTTTGACATTTAAATGTTGTGTAAATTATGCACTTCTTTTGAACGCACACAACAAACATGCATTTGATTCAATGCAGATTTTTAACGCAAGTGTGTTTCTTAAAGAATTTCTTAAAAAATATCTCAAAAATAAATAATTTAAAACAAACAAACAAAGAAAGAAAGAAATATACATTTACTGTGAAGGTATGCATACTGAACACAAATTTTCTTCATAAACTATATGAAGACCATCTTCACTGCAGGTTCTATTAAATCCCAATCAAACACAGCAGTATTAAGTGCTTGCTGTGAAATTTTACCAGTCTCAACATTACTTCAAACTGTACTTTCCTAAGTAATGTAGATGTTTCCAATCAAAATTCAGACCATGCAAACCCTCACTGATGTAAAATGCATTTTAATGAAAGGAAAAAAAAGTTGCATAAACAAGATTTGAGTTGTACAAACCTTCACTGAAACCTTCATGTAATAATTCATTTTCAACATCAAACACGGCTTCCTCTAATGCTGCACGGTCATAGCGATTAGGAGTCTGATTCTGGAAATAAGGATAATAATATTAATTATAATGTAGAAATAATTTTTTCTTTGTGAAAAAAATCAAGCACATTCCATATTATAGGTAGATTTAAAATACAAGTAGTCATATACAAGAGCAAGAAATTATGCACAGGAAAATGAGTTTTAAGCGGGGCTCAGAAGAAGCACACTAAAAAGTTCATAAACTAAAATATTAAGCACTCATCCATACAAACATAAATTTTGAATACATTCTGCAGATACATTCAATTTCCATATAATGCATCAAAACGCTTTTTTATTAACAAAATAATTAGCATCTTTTCCTATTTACCACCTTCTTTTCCTCCTTACCTCCTCTTTATATATAGCAGGGTCATAATGTGTTTTCCCTTTATTGGCTTCTGGACTCTCCCCTCGCACGTCAGGCAACGAACTCTGAATACCACTATCCTGCGACGTGCTATCACGTGCTTTATGAAAGTCATCGTATGGATGGTGGTCTAATTTGCTATTATAACTTAAGTTCTGAATGTCAGCAGAAGTCTTTCTTATTGAGTTATAAATATCTTCAGGGTTCATGTTTTCTGTTTCTCCTTCGTATGTAGTTCTGAAATGCAATAAATTAGATTAAATATGTTAACTTTTCTACGCTTCTAGTAACCAAAATATACAACATGGATTTTATCATGTTAAAACCTTCCAAGGTATGATTTTCCTGCCGAAAACTCACTTTAACAAAACTTCCTGAGTAAACAGCATTTTTCCTGAACTTTAGAAACTTTAGTCTTCCTTTTTCTGACACTTGCCATAACCCTGTAACAATTTTGGAAAAAAAAAAAAAATTACTGACCTGGGAGAAGTTTTATACTTTGGTGACGACCTGGCAGGCGGACTGGCAACATTTCTTGGGGACAGGACTTCTGTCTCGGAGTTGGCACTCCTAAGGTGGTTGTGAAGGATCTTTGTGGCACCATCCTACATGGGGAGAAGAAATTATAAATAATCAAAAAAATAATTATACTTATAATTTACAAAATATGATGAAGTGATATCTGACAAAGAGCATTTTTTCCAAAGACATTGTTCACTTGCTGAAGTGGATTAAAATTCACTCATTGACAATATCTTTCAAAGTAACAAATATGCTATTAAGCGGAGATTTAAATCTATGCCGAGAGCGGATTCCCCAGACTGTAAAACCAGGGGCGGATCCAGATATGTTTTCTGACAGTCTTCCAAATTATCTTTGTTAATCCATCCTCCATTTTTGACCGTCTTCCGACAGGTAATATTAGATACCCGTCAATGTAAACTTTAAAATCTGACCGTCTTCCGGAAGACCCAGAAGACGGTCTAAATCCGCCCCTGAAAACCGTAGTCTTATTTATGAAATGTGAGGTTTACTTGGTTTTTTACCACAGCAGATAACATGAAGCATAATACCCAGACACTGTATATCTCACATAAGCCCTAACACAACTTACCTGGAATGTTTTGGGTAATACTGAGAGCATAGATGAGAACTCTGGCGTATTCAGACTAAACAGCGCAATGAGGACTGACTGTGCTGCCTGGAATGAGGGGACATTAAAAAAAAATCATTTCAACTGTTATTTCCTCCCAATTCTTAAACATGGCATCTCCAACCAATTGTAATTCTAACTACATTCCTGATAACAATGATCTTGCTTTTTAATTAATAAAATTTGTTTTCTTATATTTCTCTGGACCTATACAAGGTTTAAACATCACTGAATAGAACTCTTGTCAGTGACTGTTTTCAGCTTACTATTATTATTATTAAGAGATAAATAAATTTTTATATAATATTTAAGTCTACTTAGGCTATCAAGTGCCAAGTTGAACATGATGTTAACTATCTTACTGGATACAATAACTTTCTGCTAGGCTATGTTATATGCGATGGGATGCTATAACATAATATACTATATGTTGTGAAATGATATGATAAATGACATGACACACATCATATGCTATTATCTGCTCCCCAGCCCTCACCTTCCTGACTTCAGCACTCTTTGGTTCCGTGGTCCAGGTAATGATCCTGGACACCGCCAGCCTGGTGTCACTGGTGCTGGTGAAATCTGCAGGATCCATCAACAACACCAGCCCCTGCAGGTACTGCAGAAGACCCGTCTTCACCTGGAAAATGTAGGGGACAACATGTGGTGAAACATGGGGGACCAGACTTACGCAGTTCATACTTCTCAGATTGGTCTTTGAAATGGGATACAGCATGAAAATCACCATGTTCATAAAGTTATAATTCAAGATAGAACTGTCTGTTAATATTCATGCAAATTTGATAAGTAAGATTTTTAAGTCGGGATATCTTAATTGAATGCCAATTTTAAAGGACCAGATGTTGCACATAGCAAACTGCATTAAATGGATAAGTAAAACATATCAGAATCTTAAAATTCCGGTAGCTGTTAAGATGTTAATTATCATGGTATTGACAGTTTACCAACAGAGTTGAATAATGTATGTGTAGAAGTAATTAACAGTTATCCTGATGAAAATTATATGAAATATGGTATTAAGTTGGCATTATGCTACACATATATGGGTATAGGGTCATTAAAAAGGTACAGCTAGAGTAACTATCTATATAAGAAAGGGTTTCAGTACTGGATTGTCTAGAAAAGACCACTATTCATCAACATGCAGTTCATAAAAAATTGTCTGGGGATCAAGAAATATGTTGTTGTTGAAGCTACTGTGTATATTACCACACAGAATTACAATGAAATGAAAGTTAAAACTTAATATTTGCCTGAATCAGTCGTTAATACAAACTACATGCACTTTTGCACCTTGGTTATTTACAAAAACAAATGTTGCTACTATACATAGTATAATATTCAATCACTAAAAAAACACTATAACACCAACAATTGTAACTTGAGATCATCTATGTTAATATGAAATTCTGTTTATAACAAAAAACATTCAAAACATCAGGACTCACGTCACAGTGAAGCAAATGTCTGACAAAGTTTACACAAATACATACAGCAGTGCTGAATTAAATAACTTGCATAAATATACACATAAAAATTGTACAAAACTAAGTTAATAATTATTAATATCTACTCCAGAGAACAATGTTAGGTAAAAAGAAAAACTTATGTTGTTAATTTAATTAAATGCCTACTGTTTTAAGGAAGTTGGATCGCAAATTACTAAAAGCTGACATTTGTTGTCAAAGAGTACATGCAGTTATCGTTTTCAGAAAAAAAATTGATGATTAAGAAAAAATACTTTTTACAGAAACTTAAACCAAGAAACAGTCTTAAGATGGAAAATTGGCCAATTAATGCAGGGTTAACTGGTATTTGGCTGTTTTTGTTAAACTTAATGTGCACTTATTTTTTCTCAATTATGTAATTCAGATTTTTCAATTTTTGTCATCAATTTTAATACAACTTTTGTAAGTAACTGACTGTCCTTTTTTTATCAATTATATTTAGATAAGTGTTGAAGCTCTTTAGATACTTCATTACAATATAGGAAGTTCCTTTCATTGACTAGGAGTCACTTCTTTAATGAGTTAATAAGCAAAGAAATTAAATTTAAAAAAGTTGTTTGTTTTATGGTTATTTAAAGGACTATGTAAATATTATACACTAATACTTTCATAATTTTCAAGAAAAAAAAAAAATTCCATCTCTTCATAATGCAGTGGATTTTACCACAATCATTTTAATTTTTTCAGAGCCTAGATCATTATGGAGATCTCCATTTCATATTAAATATATTAATATCTCATGTCTCATCTTGGCCATTTGTTACACTTGTGCCATCTGTGCTTCAGATCCCAACATGACTCAGCAAATATACAAACTCAAAATGAATATGCGAAAAAAAAAAAAAAGTATTATTAAAAAATTACCAAAGCTTGACCATAATTGCATTGTTTTCATTATTGTAATATGGTTGCAATTAACAAAGCACATACAGATGCTCAAAGCGTTCATACAGGGGGGCATGCAGTGGAATGACCAGGACAGGGAAGCCATTTTGAAACTTGCACTCTGGGACATATGTTTCCACATATCAAATCTATTATACACCTTAGGTTGATGCTTTTCACATTTCTCATTAACATTTATCATGTGAAATTGAATTAAGCAATTATAAGAGGGGGAGTACAAGAAAAAATGATTGTTTATAAAATTTGCATTGTGTCTAAGCATTTAAACCATTTTCAGGCATGACAAATGAAATTCATTTTTTTAAAGCCATTATTTAACTTCAGCTGTGTCTTAAATTTCCCCAAAGATACCAATTACATTTCAAAATGGCTTCTACATCAAAGACCCCCTGCCCAGGTCACCCCATAGGCTGCATGCTGTCAAAGATTACATGTTTGTTTTTACCTTCAGCTGAAGAGGAGGGGGAAGAGAAAAAAATACAGACCTCGTTAGACAACATGCACTGTATGGCTTTCACAGTCATGAATATATGTCCCATTTAAAAAAGAGAACTTTAAATGTAGACTATAATGTTTTCAATGCACCAATGTGTACTTAGGATGACTCATTTAAAGTCACAATAAATATCAAAACAAAGATACTATGGCATCTTCAAAATGCCAATTTCATGGCATTATTTCAATATTGTACCATTTTATGTAAGATCCTACAGTGGCAATGACTATCAGAGATTATACAAAATTCATGTCAAATATTTTTATGTTATTCCTTGTTTTAAATGCAGTATTTCAAAACAAAATTCATTATACAATAAAAATATTTTACACATATGACTTTAGAAAATAAAATAAAATCTATGGAACATAAAACATTTAAAGTTAAAACTTCAAACTATGGGGACCTACCATCTGCTTTTAACTAACCTAGACATTTATAGAAAATAATTATTGAAGCTGCATACTGTACATACTTGAGGCTAAACTACAGGACTATGTTGTTGTTCTGCTTCCTTCAATTTGTTGCCATTAAAACAGCATGCTGTAGAAATCATTTATAGCTACACAACATATCAGGTTATAGAATGGGCTATACAGAGTCAGCTAGTTTTGGTTTTAGTCAAGATATCTTATTCAACAACTTACCTTCAGGTTGGGTGTCTGTGTCTGATCTATGATAAATTTTGTTATTATATTAAACTGCTGGTCATAACGGAAATTGTCCCTGAAAGGATATGTAAACAGAAGTGAGCTGATTTGACCTACAAGTATGTTTTTATGTTATCGCACTGCTTCATTTAAATAAACTTTACATATATCTCAGAACTTCATTTGAGAAGATATTAGGCATTCCATTAAGAAACTATAAATTGAGGACATAGAAATGTCTTCATGACAATTATCTGGTGGGAAATTCAATATTTCTCGTTTTCCTTGGCTACAATAACAACTCCTTCTCTACCTATTGACCAAAAATATTTAGTTACCCTTTTACCAAATTGCAAGAAAACCACCTCATAAAGACGTATAGTGCGTACCTTACGGCGTCTAATGCGCGCTGCACCTTGGTGTACACAGATCCAAGCATGTCTGCACCCAGCTTTTGTAGAAGTCGTGTGATGAGAACAAAGAGCCAGTCGTGCAGCATGTCTTTATGTACGTGCACAAATTCAGCTAAGACTTCAAGAAACAAGCTAAATACCTGGAATGTAAATCATTTGTTAGTTTTTTATCTAATCTAAAAGGTCAATTAATTCTATAGATTTTGGTACATTATTTAATGTAGTTCTAGTAATTCTTACTAGCAATATCAATAATTTCATATCAGATTTTAATTATATTTGAATACTGATTTTAAAACATCTACTATTCAACACTCAGTGTTCTACCATAATTAAGTTTGTTATTATTTGATTTACTATTGTTGTTGCTGGGACACTACTGTACCATATGTTGTAGCACTTGTCTCAAACTCTAACATTCATGTTTAACACTTAATTATACAACTAAGAAAACTAAAGAAATGTCACAAAAACAGAGGTCACGTCAAAAATAAAAGGCCAAAGGTCACTTACTTTTCCATGAGGATCATGGAACATTCTGGAAAATATGTCTGTCATTTTCTTTAACTCTACTCGACTGAAACACAAAATATGAAACTGTAAAAATAGCCAACAAAAATTAAAATTGTTCATTTAATAAGGTTGGGTAATACAGGAGTATAGAAACGACACAATTTTGACAAATACTGTGATTTGCATTTTTTTCACACTTTGGCAATTAGCATTCTACCTTATAGTATATTAATACAAGTTCATAAGATAACTGAAACTTTGTTCCTCTAAATTCCACAAATCTTTGTAGTTGAAACATCCATGATGATGCCTGCACTATCTGCTCTACTTACTTTAGCATTCTCATCCCTTGCAGTAAATTCTGTAAATGGAGCAATGCCTCTTTTCTCTCTGCCCAGGAACCACTGGTGAGACCAGTCAGGATTTCTTGGATATCCTGGGGAAAGTAAACAGATCATCAGAAAACTGGTTGCTCAATGTCACAATACATACAGGCCAGTAGCCCTCGGGTGTCTTATTCTGAAAAAGGAGACCTTAAATATGTAACCTTCATGTATGTAAATCAAATTTTACCCAGAGCGGACATTATCCGGGCAAAAAAAGGGCGGTTCCCTATGGGCCCAAAATGTACAGATCTACATAATCCTTTTCCTGGTTGGTGTGTGTGTGTATGTGTGTGTGTGTGTGAGTGTGTGTGTGTGTGTGGGGGGGGGGGGGGGGGGGGACGGGGGGAGGGATTTTTTTTTTTTT